TAACTTAAGCCTCAGTGATCTTGTAATATAGTTGTGTTTCCGTGTAAATAGGGACAGTAGATGGGTGACAAGTCTTTCCTGGCTCTATTCCTAGAGTTAAAAAGGGCAGTTAAAATTATAACATTTTAAACCTTATGATCTGCATAAACTTTTCTATTAAAAATATCTGGTCATCTTTAAATCATCCGGTTTCTTTCATCATTTATAAATAAAACGGTAACAAAAGAGGTTTTGCCAAGGACAAATATTGCCTCAAGAAGAATTTAGCTATCATGCGTCGAGGAGTTAGTTTATGAACTATCTGTAGAATTTCCATTTCCAAAGGTACATTACACAAATCTCCAAGGTTACATGCTCTCCAAGGCACATTAGCAAATATCTGCAAGGTTTCCATTTTCCTGACAGAAACAATTACAAATGCCATGCAAGAATAATTTCACACAGAGAGTTGAGGCAGCTATCAGAATTCTCTTAGGTAACAGTTGCAAATGTTTATGCTAATATTATTTAGCTTTTCACTTTTAACTTTAAAAAATCAGGTTACTGAATTCAATGTATTTCTCTTGTTGTCTGTATAAAGAACAAACATAAAAAAAGGTGGAAGCAAGCTTATGTTCATTTCAAAACTATATGTTTTAAAACAAAATACTGCAGTATGTTTTCAGCAGGGAGCTCTTGTATTCTGTATTTCATTTCAGTAATGAAGAGAAGGGCTGCCATCTGGCCATTTCGAATGTATGGAGTTTGTGCTTCTATATATAAATGACAGCATATGGAAAGAGAGACTTGCAATTGAGCACATATTCCTAGAAATACTTAAAGTATTTATTCCTCTCAAAAATGTGTACTATTGGCCTCATCCTACAAATTACTCCTAACTTCTAAAATAATCAAAGAAATATGAAGACATTTTTATCTATCAAAACCCCAAAATAGTGCTGGTGTATTTTTTTTAAATTTAGTTTATTTCAATTCTTTTAAAGATAACTATAAATATGCAAGTATTTTAAGCTGTCCTGTCCTAGATCCAATGATACTATGTTAAAAATTTTTAAATGCATTAATGTAGAAGTATAAAAAGAATAGTAGATGAAAATTTTCAAGGGATTTTTAAAAGGCAGAGACAGAACAGTGGAAAGTGACTTAATAGTGTAAAGGAAGCTGCAATGAAAACATAAGAACAGTTAATGTTGAAATGAGAGGCTATTCACCCTGAAGAAACCTAAAATCAAGCTAGCAAAAATCCAAATAAGCAGACCTTGACCTTGACCTCAGAACTAGAGAAAGCAGAATAATGGGGAATTATTCTTCAGACAAATTAGAGGGAGAGAATTTGAACGCTAAAATGGTCAGATCTAGCCTCTCACCCCATATGTATATCCTTCCTAGTCAGCCAAGCAAAACATAAATTTTAAAAATGTATGTGAAAATAGGCAAAATGTAAAAAAAAAAATACAAGTCTTAAAGACTCCATTTAAACCCCTCTGCAAAATACAATGAGACATTACAGTCATTGAAATTAGCAAATGATAAGAGTACAAAAGGACCTATAGTCATAAAAGAAATAACCTCTTTGAAATTAAAGATAAATGATAATTTTTAAAAGCAGTGTAGAAAACATGTTGCAAATCATAGAAAGACAAATGAAAAGTAAAGGAAATTGATATCATTAGGAAAATATATTCAAAACATTAAAAAAAATCCAACCTGTCCTTGCTAGCAATTTCAGACAGAGAAAACAGAGGAAATATTAGGGAAATATTTTTCAAATAAAATAATACAAAATGTGGGATAATTTCAGAAAAAAAAGATTTTCCAGCTTGAAAGTTTCTATCAAGCACCTAGTTGAATGAACTACAGGTCACCAACCAGTGTACACCATTTAGTAATTCAGAACACAATAGATAACCATCTAAAGAGAGAAATACAAAATAGAAATTTACAAACACATGGTAATTAATAAGTACATAGTAATGAAAACCACAATGATGTTAATCTTTTCAAACACTAAAAAGTACAACTATTAGAAGAGCATCTTCAAAGACATCACTTTCAACCTAGAATTCAATATCTATCCAGACTGTTGCGTAGGCGATACCACACTGATAAAAGGGAGTCGTAGAGCCGGCTGCACAATGCAGGATGCAGCTCAAACAACAAGACCCTAGCTTTTTTATTGACAGAATAATCATACAGCACCAGTTACATGGGGTAGGAGAAAAAATTGGATGGAACTAAAAATGTGCTTATGTCATCTAGGGCTTCAGGGGGACATGAGTCTGCTGACTAGATAATTCTTATTTGCTTGATGACCAAGTGTTGTAATCAAAACCATACCCCAGAACCATGGCCATGGTTCCAATTTTATCAACAAGGTGTTCCACTGATCAGCTTCTGGGGTCCCTTGTTATACATCAATCAACAGCCCCCTCTCCCTAGGCATCCCAGTCATACATTGTGATGCATACCCTTCCGAGGGTGTTCAAGTTTTTTGCTCTTGATTGATTTGCAAGGCACCTTGTAAAGTTTGATTCCTACGACTGATTGACAGAGCAGTTCTGACCTTGTATAGGAATGCAGAACTGTAGGTAAGAAAAATGCTGCTGAACAGGACACTTAGGATTGGTAGACCCTAAGGTAAGCCCATCATCACAAGACTCAAAATGTATTTATGCTCCATCTAGAGAGAAATTTCTGGGGCTGTCACAGCAGCACAGCACCCTGAACTAGTGTTTTATTATGAGTAACATTACTTCCCACTTTCTGGAAAGCTCTGTTTTGATGCTTTCTCTTTTTCTATCCAGCAACTTAATCTCTCATTCTGCACTAATATTTATTGTAGAATGACTTCATTCCATAAACAAGTAGAATTCAGAAAGAATGCATTCCCAGAATTGTTCTGTAAAAAAACTGATCAGGGCCTCCCCTGGTGGTACAGCAGTTGAGCGCTGGGCTGCGAGGCTGCCCACAGCCTCTGCAGCGCCGGTTCATTTCCTGGCCACCAGCGAGGGTCCCACAACAACAACAACAACAACAACAAAAAAAAAAAAACCTGATCAAACTCTAAAATAACTCTTTACCCATGTAAGTCATGAATACCTAGAGTGGACATACACCAAATACTTAAAAAATGCATTCTACTAACCACTAATAATCAAAATACTCTCACCCTGATTCTTTGATCACCAAAAGTTCTTAGATAAAAATGTAGCCTTGTCTATAACCTTACAAAGCTCTGATATTGTCATATGCTTTATATTAGTTCTTTAATAAGTTAATACAATGGATACTTTAAAATATATATTAATAATAACATTCTCACTAGCTATAGATAATTTTTTCAAGTTTTATTTTATTTTCTCAAATTTTATTTTAAAATCCTTTAAGGGAATGGCTTAAACACATTGGATCTGCATTTTTTTTAATTATCCACTGGTCATTAACTCAACAGCATATTTATTTTCAAGACCTAAATTAAATTGTGGAGTCCTGTGCATTATTATTTTGTAGCAATTTATATATAATGAATAATTTTTGTATATACACCAAATGTTACTATATATTTTATATATATATATATATATATATATATATATTTGATTTTACCAGCAACAAACCTTACCATGAATCTCATTTACTGAGAACCTCACTTACCCAGTTTGTCTCTGAAGCCTAAGAAGGGAGTCTAATACGGTGTTATATAGTCCTAGATTTGGGGGCATTTTTTTAAAATACAAGGTAGTTTAGCTGCCATTTGGTAAGACCATTCATTCTTTCCAAACTGAATTATCATCTGACAAAGTCAGCCTGTGTGTGCAGTAGTAATAGAGTGGCCTGGGCTTCCTAATCATCCAGCTGAGGAAAACGGAGCTGGGAATCCTTCAGTTTACATCACCTTCTTTATATAGATAAGTCACTGTTAGTTGCCTGTGCTGGAGCAGTGAAAGCTTCCAGGGATGCTCCTGCTGTCTGCTGTCCCCTCTCCAGCTGCACTGTGATACGAGGACCTCAAGACAAATATTAGGCTAAGGGCAGAGGGAGAGCAAGAAACAAGGCTGTATGTGTAACAGGCCAGATGGTGCTCTATGGAAAATTCTTCCAAATCTTGTAGACTAATAACAACTTGATAGAAGTTTCCTATATTTAATAATACAAATTATATACATATTATCAAGGGAAAGGTATGAATATGAAAAAAAGACTAAATCATTAAGAATGAAATTTGGCAATCCATTCCTGAAGATAAACCAAATTGTCTTTCCATTTTCTCTCTACAAAATACTACAAAGAGCCTCCCTGATAGTTCAGGTGTTAAGTCTCAGCACTATCAAGCTGACCCTCATGGTGCAGCAGACCTCTCCTGTCTCGCCCATTGCTTCCCTCAGCATTGTATTTCAATAGATCTGCCTGTGCTCCCCACTCTGTCTCTGGTGAATCCTCTCACCCGCTCCCCACCTCTGGCCTACACCCAAGTTCTTATATGCATAAATAAAAATAAATCTTTAGAAAATAAAAATAAAAATACTAAAAAACCCTGGCTATTTTAAGAAATAGTATAAATTGGGGCCTCCCTGGTGGTGCAAGGATTTAAGACGCAGCACTATGAAGCTATCTGCAGCCACTGCAGCACGAGTTTTTTCATGGTCAGGAAGGTGACACACATGGCACAGGAGACATCTGTCTCGCCCACTGCTCCCCTCAGCAGTGTATTTCAGTACATCTGACTGTTCTGCTCCTCACTCTGTCTCTGGTGGATCCTCTTACCCCCATATCTCTGGCCTGCACCCCAGCTATCGTATACATAAATATATAAATCTTTAAAGAAAGAAATAATATAAATACATAAAATCAAACTATGAAAGAAAAACCCTAAAGAGGTGCGACAGTTTTAATTCTATTTTTTCAGACGTGATGAAATATTTGAGTTTTTTAAATTTCCAGTTTGATATCATTTCTGATCTAAATATAATAAAGTTGAGTATTTAATTCTATATTTACAGGTTTCTGTTCTTTTTTAAAAAGGAGGTCTCCAAAATGCTGTATGCTTCAGGCTCAGATCTGAACCTACCTTTGTAAGGTAAGTTTTATGTTACTATTATATTATTTTTGCTTTAAGGATGAAATTGTAGTCTCAGAGTTATAATGTAATTTATAATGTTATATGTAATGTAATTCCTTCCTTCCACAGAGCAAATGGTAAAAATAGGACATAAGCCAAGGTCAGTCTCATTACATAGCCTATTGTAACCATTACATGAAATACATCTTACTGTATTTTCAAGTCAGACTGAAGAGGTCATACCTGGAAGTTTTCTCCCCATCCTTAGGTCTCTCCAATATTGTGCAGCACAACTCAGTCCAATTAAATAATTGAATATTTTCTATATGTCAGAAAATATAAATAAAGCATATAAAACTAGTGAAACAGCTATATCAAAAAATAAATTATAATTAAACCTTATTTTCTAGGAGCAGACATTCTTGTGTAGCAAAGAAAAATATAATAAGTATTAGATAGAGAGATGCATGATCCCTGTTTGAAGTGCATTGGAGGTATAGTTGACTAAGTCTGAGTGAAGGCTTATGACAGGGGTGGAGCTGCACTTAGTAAAAGATTCTTACAGTGTGTGACATTTGAACTTAATTTTAAAATACAAATAGGCACCAGTCAGGAAGAAGAAAGACAAGATATCACAGGCAGATGAAGTATTAAGTCTAAGGGCACTGAGGTATAATACAGCATGCCATACTTGAAGAGGTATATGTAGTTTCACATTCCTGGAGCAGAACTTTAGAGAGTTAGTGCTGGAGAGAATTATACTAGAGAAGTGCCAGCTCATTAAAAGTTTTATATACTTTATTACAAAGCTCAATTTTTTTTTCTTATTTTATTTTTTGAGGTAACATTGGTTTACAGCTCTCTATGATTTAGGGACATTGTCCATACCTCTTATATGTATGTAACCATACCACACCCACCAAGGAAGCCTCAGTAATCTTCCACAACAACCCATTGCAAAATCTGGAGTTTTTGAAGCATTTAAAGTATCAGGCTGATTTAGATTGAGTCATGATGAGCTTCAACATTGTGGTCAACAAGTTCAAGGTGAATTTGAGGTGCATAGAAGACCCAGTCTGGTGAAACAGAATCCAGGTGAGAAGGAGAAGTTCTAGATGTGAACAGGACAATGAGAATGGATGACAGAGGATGGATTTAACATTATATAAAAGTGATGATCAATTTGAGAAGTTTTTAAGGTGCTATGATGATTCCTGTGGTTGGTAAATAATCAGATGTTATACCAACATTTGAAGGAAAGAAATAAAAGTCAAACATGAAAGAGAATATAAGTTTCATTTAGACTTGTCAAATGTGAAGGCATTTCGAGATTAGAAATGTTAAACAGACAATGAAAAATGACCTTTGGATATACTACAGGTTTGAGATTTGTGAGTATTATCGTAGCAGGTTAAACCATAATTGTAGATGAATTCACCAAAGGGAAACTCAAAACAAGAAAGGAATCACTGAAAATAGACACTTATATTGTAAAGTATAAGAGAAACATAAAGGATGATCAACCAGAGTAATCATGGAAAAACACTAATTTGAAAGCTGGCAGAATCAATATCTCATGCAAAAGAGAAACTTAGAAAAGTCAGGAGTGTGTATCTGTGGAATCTATGTTCAGGAGACCAGAACTTGACTGTCAAGTGAATTATGGTGGTGCACCCGATTCTCATGAGACAATGAATGAAAGAGTTGAAGGTTATAAATTCTCAATCCAAGAAATTTACCTGAAGAGACAAGAGGGGAAATGTAGGGCAAGAATATGTATGGAGAGCTCAAATAATGCTTAAAATAAGAGCATAGGTAATACCTACCTTCTAGGCTCCAGCTGCTATACAGCCACACTTATTATGAATTAACTAGCTAACAGAGAAATATATAGTCAGGAAAGTAGGCATATAGTCAGAAAAGTAGACATATATACACATGCATACACAAACACCCATGATATAAAATATCCATGCATAAAAATACAGAGATGAATAAGTTTATACATGCACATGTACACATGCATATATATGTATATATGCATCACATATATAATTCCATTTCCTTTAATTTTATTGATTGATTTAGATGCCACCACAAAGACCTAATATTTTCAAATTCAATTTAATTCTAGCATATGTATATAGGCAATTTTTTCACTCTCATTAACAAATATGTCCTATGTGTTTATTATTTTTCAGGCAATAGATTATAAGTTCTTCAAACATTATTGTTCTTTGTTAGAAGCAATACACATGAAAAGTGCTGATTCGGGGCCTCCCCCATAGCGCAGTGGTTGAGCGCTGGTATGCAAAGCTGCCGGCAGCCTCTGTAGTGCCAGTTCCATCCCAGGCAGCCAGGGGAGAGTCCCAGGAGGCGCGCAGACCTCTCCTACTGCCCACTGCTCCCCTCAGCAGTGTACTTCGTCAGTCTGTCTGTTCTGCTCTCCGCTCTGTCTCTGGTGAATTCTCTCACCCTCCCGCGCTTCTGACTGTACCCAGTGCTTGTATAAATAAATAAATTGGAAAAAAAAAGTGCTGATCCCAGTCTAGATACTGTGCAGTCTTTGTTTTGAGAAATGTGTAAAGAGAAAACCCAAGAAGATAAATCCATAGTGAATCTTAAAACATTAATATTTTAAAAGATATCTCTATCTTGGTGCCTGTGTTCATCCCACCAGTAAAGCTTTTTTTTTCTCTCTTTTTCAAAAACTACAGCTACCCCAAGTTAAGTTATATATTTTCCCTCTGATTTTGCCTGGGAACTTTCTTAGGTGTAACTTTTTTCATTTCACTTTTGGTCTTGTGCCCAGATGTTAACTTCTAAAAGTTAAACAAATCAATACCAGGCTTCCCTTGAATAGTCATCAGGAGAAAAATCACTAATATAAGAGCTTCCTCTTGGCCCCACGGAAAACAAAATATTTTTTGCTTAGGTTTCTGTCTTTTCAGTGGTTTATATATTTTTTATAGAATCTACCTAAAGATTCTTTCAAAGATCAAAGCTACTAGATTTCTTTAACAGTATAATTGAAATTATCCCAGCAGACATAAAAATTGACCGCACACCTATTTCCCTTCACTTCTCTTATGTTTACTCCCCAGTCTAAGTGTCTTGCTCTTGTGTTCACTTTTCAAGACACTCCTGCTAGAGTCATAATACATCAAAAAAATAGGTTAAAGATTTTAATAGCAATCCTCTTGTTACTATTGAATTTTGCATTATTCTATCAAGAGTTAAATGAAAAAATAAAGTTTTGATGCTCATAGTTGGAAGGATAATGGTTTTATCTTCCAATGGCCTCCTGCAGAACACACTTAAATGAATGCATTTGTAATATGAAGCGGAACTTCATCTGTTCTCTGCATAACTGCATCTTGGCTGTAGATGATTGCACTGTGGGACGTGAGAAGGAATTTTGAATGAGCAGCCTGTTTCCTGCAGATAAGTTTGTGTCCTCCTTATCATCATGAAAAGAAGTTAAAATAATAGCTACCCTATAAACAAAATGCAAAATTTCAAATCCACTCTTGATTCTAATGACTTTCAAGGCTAGTTCAGGATTATAACAGCGTACGGTGTAAATCTGTGCTGCATGAAGCTCAGGAAAATTTCCTGAAAGGTATTAAGGACAAGTTATTACTTGTAGCATGCTTTTAAATGTTTTCATGATGCTGACATATGTGTATTAATACTTAAGTATTCAGTGTTGCTATAGGGGGTAGGTAGGATTGCCTAAAAATATTAAATTTGAGAATGTACACAAAATACTTTTTCACCCAAGAACTTTCCTTAGTGAAATAGCTAAAAAAAAAAAAAAGTTATGTCCTTTTTCTTAACAATGTGGATTGTATGTGTGTGTACGTGTATGCAATGGAAGGATATTAATAGGCAAAAATCAAGAACTATAGTTCTCAGATTCACCCTCACTTCCATCATCTCTATCTCCTGTCTAGTTGCATTCAGACATTCACCTGCTTTTATCCTCATTAGTTCCCTCTAAGTCAGTCATGTCTGAGAAAGGTTATTGGTTTTTGTTTTGTTTTTTTTCCCCTAAAGGAAGGAGTAAGGGCCTCCCCGGTGGCGCAGCAGTTGAGCGCTGGGTTGCGAAGCTGCCCGCGGCCTCTGCGGCGCAGGTTCGATCCCCGGCTGCTCCCCGGCCACTGGAGGAGGGTCCCACATGGCACGCAGTCCTCTCCTGCCGCCCGCTGCTCCCCTCAGCAGTGTACATCGGTCCTTCTGCCTGCTCTGCTCCCCGCTCTGGCTCTGGTGAATTCTCCCACCCTCCCGCGCTTCTGACTGTACCCAGTGCTTGTATAAACAAAACAAACAAACAAATAAATAAATAAAAGCATGCCTCTATAAAAAAAAATTAAAATAAAGGAAGGAGTAAAATAGAAGTTTTTAGCAAGACCAGTAATTGTCTTGATATGAAATCTGTATATCAAGATTCATTTCCCCTTTTGATTCCCTTCTGCTGGTAACTATTGTTGAGTACCTGCTAAAGTCTGAAATTGATGTCCTCTCTACCAGACTGAGCTCTGGCCCCACTTTAATCGTGTTCTGCCCTTAGTTTCCAGGTGGAAAAATGGCAAGTTGGAACTATTCCTTTTCTACTCCCTTAGGTTTATTCTGCTATTGGTTTTCTAATGCACCTTAACCATCAAGATTTAGATCTAAATCCTGATTTATGGATCTTTTAACCAATTATTTCCCTTAATGTAATGACTGATGGATACTTTTATTTTGTAGCATTGATTCAAACAGATTCAGAAATTTCTCCCACAGCATTTCTAAATAATATTCACCTTCTATCTACTTTAGCACATCAGATGATTAGGAGTTCACTATATGTTAAGGGGACTCATTCCTATTTTGAATAGTATCTGCTTAATATAAGTTTAATGGTTGGATTATCTAAATGTGTCCACTGTTATGTTAAATAGTTACATTCTATGTATAGCCAACCATCATCAATTTGCTTATGTGTCCTATCATGAAAATAGAATGCATAGATG